TTAATTTTAAACTTCTAAAAAATTACATAGTTACCCCATTTATCTTTAAAAAAAAATTACAAAATATACCCATCCGTGTCCGAGCCGTATCCACCCCGTGTCCAATAAACAATTATTTCTGAACACTTCACAAAAATGTCGTACACGTGTCCGGGCCTCGGACACGCTTGTCCGTGTCCGAAAAGTATTCGACACCGGTACGAGACCCCTAGAAGGAGTGTCCGTGCTTCATAGTTTTGCGTACATGTATATATATAAATCAATTAAAAGAGAATAAATTAGAGATACAGTACCATAGAAGAATATTACAATTGGGAGTCATATCCACCACTCCATTTTATATATATATATATATATATATATATATAATTCATTCACATAGTACCATATGGGTCTTTATGGCATATTGGTTTTGCATAAATGTATATATAAATCAATTAAAAGAGAAGAAAAAAGAAAAAAGGACTCACAAGTCAATGTGCTGTAGAGGAGGATGAACCATGTTTTCTTTGCCAAACAAAATAGGGGCATTTTTGTTATTTAAGTTTAAAAATATTTTGTATTAAATTATATTTAAAAAATGGGGGTAATGGGTCAATTCGTTTGTGTCTTAACCCAAAAAGTAAATTGGGGTGTAAAAGTTAAAACTAAAATGTTCATCTAACTAAGATTTGACCTAACCTAAAGGGGTATCAGTATAATTTTACTCTTATTTTTACAATTAGGGTTAGGCTGGCTTGAAATTTTTTAACTCAAATTTAATTAAGGTTGGACTTGAGTTAAGCCGTTGAGGTGCTACCAACCCGATCAAACCCAAACCCAAACTCTAATACTATTTTCATATATATTTTAAATTTTAAATACATTATATATATAATATTTAAACTATTATTAACTTTTTTTTTTCTTTCAACTTTCTTTGTTAAATCTTAACTTATTGTAATTTAATTCTAAGAATTTGTTTGTAATTTATTCAAAATTTACAAAAATCTTTTATTTATTATTATTATTATTTTTTTTTTTTTTTGGTGTGTAAGAGTAATTTAATCTAAAATTAATTTAGGATCATATTAAATTTTCGGTGTGAAAGATTAACCATATGAGTAACTAAGATTTTTAACTAGAAATTCAAGCCCCAGCTGCAAGCTCAAATTTAAAAGTAGAAAGATGAATTGGGCTCAAGTTGACTAATTCAAGTTATACCTTAAATCCACCCGAGTTGCAACCTATATACACACAAGGCTGAATGAATAAACGATCAAAGTAAAAGTCAAACACACAAAAAAGAGAGATCTGGAATATTACCTAGAAAATTATAGGATTTGGCGGCGATATCGCAAGATTTGTTCTGCGAACTAATGGTGCAGCTTCATGGCTTTAATAAATTATCTTGGAAAAGTGTGGTTCACTCGTTTTGTGGGGTGGGGGGAATAGAAATAATGTCACGTCGGTTTTGTATCTAACACTGAGTTATATATATGTGTGTGTTAATTTTATGATGCCAAAATATAAGATATAAAATAGGAAGGTAAAATAGAGAAATATTAAGAACACAGTATATACATGATTCTATACTAAGGTTATTAATGGAGACTACATTTCTCTTATTGCTTATATGTCTCGATGTGTTTACATTGTATTGATACACCATATATAGCAATAAAGTTGCACACAAAAGGAGTAAATCAGGAGGAAAGAAGGTTAAATAAAAAAAATCAAGGAGATCCAAGGAAGGAAAAAAAAGAAAATGAACATAATATATATGTATAATATATATAATATATTCTACATAGAATATATATTTTAATATTCTCTCGCAAACTCAAGATGGGTTTATCTAAGCCAACTTGAGTTTGGAGATGAAATCCTGAAAATGGTGGTGAAGCGAAAGCATCCGAAAGGCCGAAACAACGTCGGGAAAATGGCTGGAACAACGCTGGGGAATAGTTGGAACAACGCCAGGGAAATGGGTCGGAACAAAGCCGAGAAATGAACCGGAGCAACACTGGGAGACATACAGGTAATTCATCTCAGAAATGAAAAAGATTCGGAGTAAAGCTGGTAAAAGGTCGGAACAACGCCGGGGAATAGTCGGAAGACTCGGAACAAGGTCGAGAAAGGCTGAAACAACGCCGGGGAATAGTCGGAAGACTCGGAACAAAGCCGACCGTCGGTGAAGAAGGAATGCGTAGGCACATGTAGCGCGAGTGAGATCTACTCGAAGGAGCGTGCGTCACATGGGCGCGTGAAGCGCAAGTCTGACAGTGTGATTGATCAAAAAAGAAAAACAAAGAGAAATCTAAACCAGAAATGGATCAGAACCACTGCTCTCTAAAAAAAACCATCTAGGATAGTTGCTCTGATACCGTGTTAATTATGCGGAAATATAAGATATAAAATAGGAAGATAAAATAGAGATATATTAAGAACACAGTATATACATGGTCCGGCACTAAGGCCTATATTTATGGATCAAGAACCACTAAGGCTACATTTATCTTATTACTTATATTTCTTGATATGTTTACATTGTATTGATACACAATATATAAGAATAAAGTTGTACACAAAAGAAATAAATTAAGGAGTAAATTAAGGAGGAAAGAAGGGAAAAGAAATAAATCAAGGAGTAAATTCAAGGAAGGAAATAAATGAAAACGAATATAATATATATGTATCATATACATATATATTATATATATAATATATGATACATATATAGAATATATATTTTAATTATATATATATATATATATAAATAAGTAGAGTGGTTGAGTTGCTCCATGTCTGAAAGCTCGTGTTCCGGTATATCTATGAAATTCCCCCCTGCACCTGCCGACCCCCCAAATTAATTTAAAAAATCCTACTATTGTCCCACCTCACCCAATTTACCGGATCCCTCCCTCCATGTCTCTGTTTCGTTTCTCTGCTGCCACAAAGATATAATTTTCATATTTAAGTTCTTGGATAGCAGGAGATGAAAAAAAAAAAAAAAAAAGGAAAAAGAGTAAAAAAGTAAATATGTTTATTTATTAATTACAAAGGAAACGAAAGAGGAAAATATAAATTAAAATGGTAGAGAAGAGAAAATAAATAAATTATTTCGAGTATTTTTAGAATAATTCATTATTATTTGTCTTCAATCTTGTCATTTTTGGGATGCAGTACATAGAATTTGGAGTGATAGCTGTTTTTCCAGAGTTAGGTAAAATGATGAATCAAACTCATCATATCCAACTTCAAACAACCTCTTGTAGCTTTACCTGACTTTCTAAGGACATTTGGGTCAATGTGCTAGGGATATATCTGTCATTTCATGATAAAATCTAGGATCTGAATGTCTGTTCACATAAGGCAAGGGCAATTAAGTCAATTTTTTAAAATTTGTTTACAATCCTGGTGGTTACAAAATAGGAAGTGTTGTTGAGCACATGCCAAACTTAAGAAGGGGTCTCAAAGGCTCAAACAATATTTAATTTAATCAAAATGACATTTTTTATGTAAATGCATATAATTATAATATATTATATTATAAAATAGTATAGAATTAACTTCCCAGCCCAATTTTATAAGTATTTCATAGCCTAATTATTGTTTGCATTTTGAATTTAATATTTCTGTTATCTTATGGGACACCATTAGCAATCTTCCGGAAAAGTTAAAGAACCCACTATCATGTTTCTATTTTGTTCAATCTACTTCAATTTTATTAAATATATTATCATATATTTTATCATTTTATATTATTATCCTAAATGGTATTTTGAATAATTTTGAAGTAGATCATTGTATATTCACTTTCGTCCTACCAATTCTCAAACCCATTTGATTTCTAGGAGATTGCTAGATTTTTCCAAGTATCAATAACACGTAACATGGAATGTCTCAACCTCGACTCAACCTTTACAACACCAAAAATTATCCATTAACATGTAAAGACAAGACAGAATGTCTCAAGCTTAGTGCTGAGTCTGACCTTGGTAAAATTCACTAATCTCACCGCTTCTAATATATATATATATATATATATATATATATATATATATTGGCTCAACACTTGTAATACGAATCTTCATTTTTACAAAAAATACACTAATCTCACCACTTGGAATACAAACCTTCATTTTTACATTCATATAAATATTCAAATGAACAGTAATTAGGGTAGACACTACATGTAGCTTCCGTTTGTTTATAAAACATTTATATATATATATATATATATATATAGTAAAATAACTTACCTATCCGTTTTTGAAAAATTATTGTCCCGCCCAATAGACTCGATCTCAACCTCGATCTAAAACTTTGTCAAACACCGAAAATTATTTTCTTTAAAATATATTAATATAAAAACATAATGGATGGAACAAAGTATAAATTTCATATTTCATTAAAAATAAAATTACTCAAACTGAACATATTTAGGTCCACATCAAGAAGGAAACAAACCACCATTCAAAACAATCTTAATTTTAGTTAAACTATATTTGAACATATTTGTTACAATACTTTGAAATTTCTCAACACCTATTTTGTGTGTTATTGCTTCCTAAGTTGATAATAGAACGGGCACACATTTCTACTATCTATCCAATCTCCATTTTAGTTATTGCTTGTTACATGAGAGGTAATGCAATCAGCCAAAATAATAAATGTGAAGGAAAAAGAATAAATCTGAAGAAGGGAAAAACAAAGATCTAAATTATCTAATCCAAACTAAAATAGTAGCTTAAACACCAACAACTTCAATTTCAAAAAATGAGGTAAAAAACTGTTGTAGCAGACTATATATATTTGTTTAATCCTAACCCTTAATATAGATGTAATCTAAAGGCTAATATTCAAACCAGCAGAATCAATAGATAAAAAATAACAAAACAGTCCTTAAGTGATCATATGACTCACTTAAAAGGCACGTGACTTATAAATAAAACCAGAATGACAATAATATCCTAAATATAAAAATAATAAATAAATAAAACATACACAGTCTAGTCTTCTAAGGATCTTCAACTATTTGAAGAAAGTACTCTTCCATTTGCATTGCATCAAGAGGCCACTCTTAACCAATTCTCTCTTCATATGCAGAGAACAACTTTTGCCAGTAAGCAACATGAGCATTCAAATCTAACATAACTACCAAAAACAAGGAAAACTAAATGGCACATCAAACTTGAAGTGAAAAAAATCCATCAAGAACTATAAACAGTAAATGAATCATAAGTCAACTTCGAACATAAAACCAATTACTTGCAAATGTCTAAACAGTAAACGAATCATAAGTCATAACTTCGTAAGGAATAAGAACTCTAAAATAAAAAGGCTTGAGAGTCATATGAATCTTATCCCCCTCTTTACCACTAATACAAAATTAGCCAATTGCTTGACTGGAGAAAATTTCCGCACATATTGCCCTTCTCCTTTTAATCTCTCATTCAATTGACTGCCCATAGTTTTAGGAATCCCTGAACAGAAGTTGGCTTTCCGGTTCCAGGATACATGCATCGGCAGGATAGAAGAAGATAAAGCCGAGGACCCAATCGAATAGCGAGTATGAATCAACCTCCAGGTCTTATTTGGCAGACTATGTGTTGGCTTTTTCTAAGAAGGGAGGAAGGTGTTAAGTCAATCCGGTTGAACAAGTATAAAATTAATATAGGGATGAGCATACAACTAATTGCTTGGCGGTAACAAAATGTGTGGTGTTTGTGTTGCTATTATTCTTTAACATTAAAAAGAAGAAAACATAATATTTCCATATAATCTAATCATCAACATATTTACAGAAAGGTGCCAGTTACACCAACACTTTAAAAGGATTAATCAGTAGAAGGACAAAATTTAAGAGAAATATGAAAAAGAAAAACGAACACAAATTATATATCTAATTTCTTACATTTGATTGTGAGAACACTGCACCGACATAGCACTGATTAGATCCAAATTGCACAGGCACTTGTACAGAAGGAAATAATAAAACCAAGAGAATATTAATTTGGCATGTTCAATTCTAATTTTCTCCTTTCCCCTTAAAAAAATGAAATGAAGCAGCATTAAATTTTTGAAGAAGAAATCAACTAGTGACCTGATTGTCCTTTTCTTTCCTTGACAGGATCACTCGAGTGTTCCAAGACCAGCTTGTCCGGGCAGCTTTTGCAATCACAAAGCAAGTACAGTGTACATGCCACAACAAGTAGAGAAAATTCGTTAGTATTGCTTAACAATTGAGGGTCTTTTCATCATTTTCTTTCTGTTGATTAGTCGCTTTTTGTCATTTTATTTTTTCTCAAAGTAATCAAAAGGCTGGGAAAACAAAACCAAACATGAGTAGAGCGGAAAATAAAGATGATAACCATTCTACTATATTGCTTAGATCAGAGTCTCTGGATTTCAATTTAAAGCCCGCTACAGCAAGTAGACTGGCAACCTCTTGGGCAACCTGTTCTTTTGGGACCTGTAAGGAAATAAAGAACGATTGTATAAATTTTTTTATCAAATTAATGCACTTAATCATAAAAGAGAATAAATTACAGAATCAGGATCGTAAGTAAACTTTTTTTTGTCAAAAAACTAAAAATAGTGAAACCTTTGAGAAATATAAAAAGGTAACTAAAGAAGTTAAAAAAGTAGCAAGTCAAGCAAAACATAGAGCATGTGATGATTGTTATTCCAAACTAAACACAACAGAAGGAGAGAAGAATATACATAAACTTGCAAAACTTGTTCATAGAGCATGTGATGATTGTTATTCCAAACTTGTTATTTTAGCCATATTAAATGTATTAAGAGTGAAGATTCATGGGTTTCAGTAAAAGACAATGAAATTAAAGAAATATGGATAAGTTATTTTGAAGTTTTGATAAATGAAAACCATACAAGAAGTTTAGTCTTGGATCAATATAGTAACCTTAGAGATAACATACTTTTCCATAGGGTCAAAGAGTGGGAGGTTAGAAATGCCTTAAAGAAGATGAAATCGGGAAGGACTTAAGGGCCTGATGGATTTCCTATTGAAGTTTGGAAGTGTCTAGCAGAAGTTGGCTCGTCTTGGTTTAAAAAATTGTTTAACAAAATAATAACAACTAAGAGGATAACTGATGTGATCTTAATGTCTAATTTTTTTCCTAGTTGGTACCCAACACCCAAACCCCACGCCGCCCCCCCCCCCCCCCCCCCCCCCCCCCCCCGCCTCCCTCCACACACACACACACACACACACAGAGAATTGTTTGCACTTGGCGGGAATCGATCCTGAGACTTGATGCTATAAAGTTGTAATAATTATTGTGGTATTAAATTCATGAGTCACACTGTAAACTTTGGGAGAGAGTGATTAAACGATGCCTAAAAAATCAACTTGGATTCATGCCAGGAAGGTCAATGATAGAGGCTATTTACTTGTTGCGGAGACTAATGGAAAGATACAAAGAGAAGAAGAGAGATTTCCATATGGTTTTTTTATTTTTTTTGGAGAAAGCCTATGATAGGGTACTTAAAGATCTAATATGCAGGGTTTTAGAAAAGAAAGGAGTCGCAAAGGGATACATTAACACGGGAAATGTACGACGGTTGTGTGACTATAGTTAGAACCTCTGTAGAGAAGCAAGTGAATTTCCCATCGATGTAGGCTTAACTCAAAGGCCAGCATTAAGCCCATACCTTTTTGCCTTGGTTATGGATGAACTAACAAGACACACACATTCAAGATGAGATTCCATGGTGTATGTTATTTGCCGATGATATTCTTTATGTTGATGAGGCTAGAGGAGGAGTTGATGGCAAATTGGAGGTTTGGATAGAAACTTTAGAATTAAAAGGGTTTAAGATAAGTAAAAACAAAACTAAATACATGGAGTGTGACTTTAGTAAATCTAGAAATACAAATGAGGATGTAGTAAGGATTGAAAATGACAAGGTATAAAAAAGTGAATATTTTTGTTATTTAAGTTCAATTATTCATAATGAAGGAGAAATTGGGAACATGTTAAAATCAAGCCAAGATGAGTTAAATGGAGGAGAGCAACTAGTATCTTGTGTGATAAGCGTATCCCCTTAAGATTGAAAGGGAAATTTTATCGAACCACTATTAGACCAGCAATACTTTATGGCACCAAATGTTGGGCAACTAGGAAACAACATAAGCATAAAGTGAGTGTGGCGAAAATGCAAATGTTGAGATAGATTTGCGGTAAGACTAGAAAGGATATAATTAGAAATGATCACATTCGGGAGATGGTTGTAGTATAAATTGGAGATAAAATGAGAGACAAATCACTAACATGGTTTGGAAATGTGCAAAGAAGACCTTTAAATGTGCCAATTGAGATGGGTAACATATTCCTCCATATTGAGGGTAATACTAGGAGAAGAGGAAGACCAAAGTTGACATGGGTAGAGTTAGTAGAGAAGGATAAAATAGGATGTAGTTTGACTGAGGTTATGGCCTTGGAAAGAGTGGAATTGGAAAAAAGGACTCTAGCCAACCCCAAGTAGTTGGGGAAAAGGTTTTTGTTGTTGTTGTTGTTGTATCCCTAATAAACTTTTTGGTTACAAAACAAATGAGCAACCAAAATGGAAGGACAAAAAGGGAAAGGAAAAAAGTGGTCCCATCTACTCGTAAATCTCCAAGCGATCAAAGCAAAATAAGTGCTAATATGCATCACCGAACACAATGTAGATCTTCTCCCGTATGGCAAATATTAACCAACACATGAATATAAGAAAAAAATGTGTCATTACAACTTACATTAGTTCGCTCTAACTGAAGATAAGTCTCAATAGCATCCCCAGCCCTCTCAAAAATCTCAAGTAACTGTAGCATAGATATCATTGCCTCCTTCAAATTCTTACATATTTGGGCCAACTTTTTGTCTTCCTTTTTGTACATTAATCTGTACTCAGAATTAATCAGTGCCGCAAGTTCAAGTTGGATGCATTGATGTAACGTCATGCATCCAGTTGAAGTGAAAAGTTTGACGCTCTCAAATGTAATTGAATCCATAACCTTTTCCCTAGCTACCATTAGAAGAACAGCCAGCTCAATGAGTTTGCCATCCTTCGCAAAATAGCGAATTACCTCCTTGATCTCTTCTGTATTATGTGCAAGCAACCTATTAGTCTCCAATGCTTCTTTCTGCCACGTGTAAAGTAAACCAGACAAGAATAAGCAACCCTTTGAAAATTGCTCTGTACTTCAACTCAAACATTTATAAATAAAATGTATACTGTGCAACCTCCACATCAGATTCTCGGTAAAGAACGAACCATTTTTGGAAGGCAGAGTATGATGATCAACTTGAAAACGGATTCTCTAGGAGTCCACCGAACGAGATATCTACACAAGGAATGAAAATAAAATATGAGAAGTAAAACAAAAAAGATACAATTATGAAAAATGTTCACAAGATCTCTACAGAAAAGGACCAAGAAATCACAATGCATAGTGTGATAACTAAGTTCTACCTTACTCTTCCGAGTGCCATATGGAGAGGGAGCAACCCATTGTGCTCCAAGTCATTTGCATCACATTGGACATCGGGTCGTGCTCCATGGAGGAGGAATAACTCAATTAAGTGAAAAGATAATGAAGAAGCTGCTACATGCAGCGGGAAAGCTCCCTGGATGATCGGAATGTTAAGATCCAATTTAAGATCCGTCTTCCCTTTAACCAGTGCTGTGCCACAATTTACTGCACGATGATGGCAGATAAATGCCAAAAGTTCGTAAGGGCACACTTCAGATTCACCGAACTTCAGTTTAACCATGCCCCCAGAATTTATGACCAATGACTTCTCCAAAAGGGCAATGAATTCATCCTCATCATCTCGAACAATGCTATTCTTAATTTTATTTTCATATATCTTCTTAATTTTATTTTCATATATGCGATTCATTATTTTATTTTCACCCTTAATGATGCAACTCCAATCCTGTCATCGTTAGAACAAAGTCAGCATTAAGCCTGATGAAACAACACAAGAGACCATATAATTCCTAAGAATTAAACACGTAGTTAATATATATTGAAAAAGAAAACAACCAATTAGAGAAGAAGGTAAGCTATTAAAGTGGAAATACTCGTAATCAGAGTCAAAATATTAGTAAATTCCGCTTGAATGTAAGGTTGGAATAAGAAATATATACAAAAAATAAAAGACAAAAGGAAACAATTTTAACACGACTACAATCACTGAAGTAACTGAAGTTGGAAAGCAAACCTCATCCATCTCTGTCTTCATATTAACAAATCCCACAACACTGAGGCACCTGTAAAAGGTAAAAGCTTCTTCTTCTTTTTTACCAGAAAGAATCATAAAAGCTCGAAGGGAATGGATATATAAAAGACACTCATAAATATTAGAATTTTCCAATTGTGCCATGCTCCATCAGGCTAAAGGTCAAAATTTTAAGCCTTTATAAGGAAAACTTCTTCCTCTACAACCAGCTCGATTGGTTAGCAAGAAAATATGTTGAAAAAATGAAATAAAGGTTGATTGAAAGTAGAATAAATCTTCTTGCATGAATTTATTTGCAATAAAAAAATTCCAATGAAATTATTACTTGTTAGATAAGACCAATTTAAGATTAGAGAGGGAAAAAAAAAAGCATATAATTTTTTATTTTAGAAAATTAGCAGGTAAAAATCTAAAAACAATTACTATCTCGGTCTGTCCATATTTTAACTCACAATTTATATAAGTATATAAAAATAATATGATTAAAAATAATCTCTTGACTCAAAATAAAAGGTGGCAGTGAGTTAAAATTTTCGAAATGAACAACTAATATGGAGAGAGGGAGAACTAGAAAATAGGGGATTTGCTGGTTCAAAAAACAAAAGCTCAAAAACTTTACATATAATCAATCACAGTGGAAAAGATACATAAAAGAGACAGACGTGAATATTATAATTTTATAATTCTATCAACTTAGGTTTTTTTAATTATCAAAAGCCACATTTTTCCTTCAGCAACTAAACCCTAAGAACTGGGTAAAGTACAAACTCGGTTTTGGCGAGCGAAATAACATAAATACATGTATATGTGTATACTATATATGTAGAGAGAGAAAAGAGATAGAGAGGAGGGGTTGGGTACCTGGCAAGGCTGGCTGGCCGGCCGAGCAAGACACTCCGTCGTTGACGTGTAGGAGTAGTGCAAAGGCTAGTGGATCCCTTTCTCTCTGTTCAGCATGTGAGAGGACCCGGATCAAACAAGCCTAGACTTTGGTATAATGGAAATGAGAGGAAAAGAAAAGAAAGGTAACGGAGGAGAATAAAAAATTGTGTTTGGGATAAAAGGTTGGAAGGAAAAGAAAGGGAGCGGGGGTTTTCGGAAGGAGATGGTATAAAAGGTAACTTTTCCGATCCTTACAAGATTGAGAGGAAATGGAAAGAAAAAAAAAAAAAAGAGAGGTTAACCTAATTTTTATAATATCAAATTTACTCTTCAAATAAAATTAAAATTACACTTGAATCTTAAATCATGTTTTACTCACTTTGGTGAATGTGGGAAATAAAGCCGTCAAAATTTACTGAAAGGCACCAAAATTTACTGCTAGTGATTAGGTAAATCAAACTCAATTGCCTCAATGGTGGTCTCTGTAAAAATATATATATATATTCTCTATTTTCAATGGTGAGTTAGATAGGTTTCTTAATATATCTTTATTATTTTGAGTTAGAGTCCGGAGAAAAACGGTAGCTACTATTAGTAACAAATAGATGATATTTATATTAATATTATTTTTGGCAACAACTAAATGATATTTGGTCTTCTTTACATAAAGTTTGTAGATAAAATTGGGTTGGAGTATTCCATTTATTGAATGGATATGCATGAATTTTTAAAGGATTACTTAAGGTTGTGGATAACTTAAAAGGAGTTTACAGTGAATATTTTACAAAATCTGATTTTTTTTCAATAAATGTTATGAAAAAATAAATAGTTTATGTTTATATCTGCAATTGGCTTAAACTTGAAAAAAGCATATAGGTGTTATATTCATAAATTGCATGTTTAATATATAAATTTGTCTTTTATAATATAAAAGGGTATAGTGGTAAATTAATTAAAATAGTTTCATTTTCTCTCTCCCAAATATGATTATTATTATTTCTTTTCTTTTCTTTTATTAATTAATCAAACGAGTGGTTAACATTACCCTATCCTTCATATTTCTTTTATTTTCTTTTCTATTATACCAAACATAGGCAAAAATTATAACCCAAGCCAAACCATGTAAAAAAAAAAAAAAACCCAAGCCCAACCAGTAATCAATTCAGGCCCCAAGATAAAAAAAATAAAAATAAATAAATAAATAAATAAACTAGCCGTTAAGAGTTGAAAAAATACAAAACTGTCACGCTCATGTCCCAAGTTCGAACCTGATCATCGCCATTATAATCATCAACTGAAATTGTTACTAAGGTGTGGGGTCATCGACAGCATCCCTGATTTGTAGCTTGGGGGACCCTACCTAAGTTTCGGTGCCAGACAAAAAAAAAAAAAAAAAAAAAAAAAAAGAGGATACAAAACTGCCAACATCAAAACAAGACATATACGCAACCCAACCCAAGTTTGTGAGCATATTATGGGCAAATTAAGTCAAGTTAATTGTACTACATTTTTTTTATAATTTTTTGTTTTTTCTAAATATAATACTTTTTAAAAAATCCTTAGTAATTAAATTGTAGGTTTGGAGAACGACACTAGAGTAAAAAAGACTTAAAAATCAGTAAAACTAAAACAAAATGCATGGCATGTAAATTTAATAGTACTACAAGACCAAAGCATTATTAAAACTTCAACAAACATTATTAGCATACAATTTATTCAAGAAAGGTATAAGAAATCATTATTTTATTAAAAAATTATTACAAAAATCGATCATTTTTGCTTCGTTTGGTTAGAGGGATGGAAAAATAGATGGAAGAGATAGAAGGATTGATGAATGAGGAATCCCTAGGGAACGGAAGGTGTCTCTTCCATTTTTTGTTTGGTTGAATGAAATGGATAATAGAAATGATGGATGTGGTGATAATTTTTTTTGTTTGGTTAGAAGGAAGGGAAAGAAATTTTTTATATTTTTTTACCAATATATTATCACTGTATAAAATAATAAAAAGTAGATATCTATTTGAATTTTTTTGAAATATATATTGTTAGTAGTTATTCATTTTCTCTCTCCTCCCTTCCCCCCAAAATTGGGCAGATAAAAAAACATGAAGAAAGGACGAATGAAGCATCACTCCTTGCTTCCTCCCTCTCTTCCTTTCCCTCCAACCAAACACGAAAAGCCTCATCCATCCCTCCTCAATTCATCCCTCCAACCAAACATAGTATTAGGCTTCATTTGTATAAATAGAAAATAAAAGAATGGAAAATAAATGATAGCAATGACCTCTATTCATGTGTACGATGAATTATGAAATAAAATAAACGAAATAATAATATTCTTGTTTGGAAAAGGTAAATGGGAGAAAAGAAAATATAACATGACAATTTATATATATATATATATATATATATATAACAATCTAACTACAATCATACTCTTTTTTAATATAGGACTTAAGTGTCAAAACACTTTTATTGTTTTAATTGTTGAGGGTACTTTCGAAATTATGAAAGTATTACTTATTCTTCTGTTATTCACTATTATTTCTTTCCAATTTTTTTTATTTAAATAATAGCATATGGGGAATTCTTTATTTTTTATTCACTTAAGACAACCAAACATAATTCACACTATTTTACTTTATTTTATTTTCTTTCCTTATTCCTTTAAATCATTCAATCCAAACGGAGTCTTATAATCAATATTTTTTTTTAATGTTTTCATGTTAATATATATATATATAGATAGAGAGAGAGATTTTAATTGAGTGGGATACTAGGAAGTAGATTTAAATTAAAATAAAAGAGAGTTGTTAGGTATTAGGTATAAAATTACCCTCGGCCGATTATAACATTCCATTTTTCAAGAACATGCAACTATATTCATTCCATTATTTTTTCTCGTACATATACTTGAAACTTCGTTGAGTTCGAATCAAAGGTCTGCTTAGAGATAAAAGATTGTTAAAAAATTAACAAGATTCTCAAAAATACTTTTTTTAACACTCGCACAAGTAATGTAATGCATTTTAAATACATTTTAAATTTCAAAAAACCTAGAAATTATTACATGATATCCCTTCTATCACAATTAATTAACCTATTGTGTGTCGCGTCATGATTGATTTAGATTAATTTCTCCGTATCTAAGCGTATTGCCCCCAGATCCTATCATTTATTGGGTAATATTTCAGATTTCTCCTTTTTGTGTAGGACTTGGATTATGTAAGGAAATTTTACCAAAATTTAAGAAAATTTCATCATACTTAACGTCATTATCTCTTCCCCATTTTTTCCAAAAAAAGATTCTCCCTCTCTTCCCTTTTTATTCCTATTTTAAACAAGTCAAGAAGGTCTTTGCTATATATAGGCACTTATATATATATATATATATATTCTTTTTCAATCATTACTATTGCCAGTAGTTGCATGTCTTGCAATCATATTTTCGTCCATTTTAATTCTATGGCAAAGAATATTCATTTTTTGGGTGAAATATTCCTGTGAAAGTGAGAATGAGCAAGAGGAGAGAGATAGAGATGGAGGATCTTTATTTGAAAAAGATGAGGGAGAAATAACGACCTTAACGCTTAGTGTAACGGGTGGGCGCTTGCCCATTTACCCAAAAGATCGAATTATTGGGTAATACTGCATACCCACCCATTTATACTCATGTCACTTCCCATCCGGATCCGATGTGGGACAAGTTTTCCCTTGTAACATTCTCCTCCACCCGAACTCGCAACGCCCTCGTTGTGGTCGGGCCACCCTGCCTACCCGGGGTGGCACACCCGGACGCCTTCCCGGCCGGGCGCTTGGCGTGGCACCGGATCAAGGATTGGGTCTGGCTCTGATAACAACTGTAACGGGTGGGCGCTTGCCCATTTACCCAAAAGCTCGAACTATTGGGTAGTGCTGCATACCCACCCATTTATACCCATGTCACTTCCCATCCGGATCCGATGTCGGACAAGTTTTCCCTTGTAACACTTAGAGTATAGTGAATTTTTCTTAATTTAAAATGTTGTATTTTTTAAACTTTGGTAAATTTTTCTTATATCAAAACTATGCAATTTTTAATTTTAAAAAAAAAATAAATAGATTTTAAATGTCACAATTTAGATATTACCCAATAAATTATAGGATTTGGTGGAAATATGCTAGATGGAGAAATTATTCGGTAGAAATGTGCTAGATCTAGAGAAATTATCCTAAATCAATCATGACGTCGATACACAATGGGTTAAATTGTGATAGATGGATATCATGTAATAATTTTTAGTTTTTTCGAAAT